GGTTAAACAGACAGCAGATCTGTGAAACTGGGGCCCACATCTCTAAACGTTGCACTCAACTCTAGCACCAGTGGCAACTGTGCCCTGACGGGTGGTATCACAGCTAGAAGGACACCAAGTGGTTTCCACTGAGCAGCGGACCCGGCCCTGAAAGACAGAGGCAGCCTCCCGCCCTTATAAGACCCCAGTGCTCAGTGGAGGCCCTGAATTCTTGTCTTTCCAAACAAAGGGACTGCAGAGGTAGTCAAGGCCTTTGGAAAAACTAGTTTGGGGCACAGATGTTTGGAAAAGGCTCATAGCTATTTTCATAAATATAAGTGTTGATCTAACCACTTGCCAAACAAACTTTGATGTCTCTGACCAGTACAAGGAAACTCTTTCTGGATGCTATCTAGGAGTAAGATGCTGTGATCTGCAGGGCACCAGGAAACACATTTAGAAACACCATCAGTCAAGTGGGGATGGCCCCTCCATGGAGAATCTTGGCCATTCAGGGTGGGGTGCTCTTGGTTTGAATTAGGAACATGCTGGACGCTGGTCAGCTGCAGAGCTTCTGCTCAGGAAATGGGTCAGTGGTCAGTGCAGCTGCCCAGGCTGGGTCATGGGGTGTGCCTGCCCTGTAACCCACTTCCTCTCCTGTGGTTCCTCCCTGGCACCTGGAGGGTGTTTATTCTCTGGAGTCAGTCCAGGGCACGAGAGGGAGGGAAGGGCTGACCACAGAGTCCTCTCCAGCTCCTGCAGCTTCCATGGTCCCTCGACTAGAAGCTGCCCCAATGTCCTGAGAGCTCCTTGTTCCATTCCAGGCATGAGCCTGCAGGACCAGGTCAGAGAGAATGGCAGGCCTCCCTACTGAGGCTGCCTAGGGCCCACCCGAGGCCTGTTCTTCCCGGAAGTACCTGTGAGCCCTCAGCTGTCAGCCTCCTCACCCTTCCTGCGGGCCTGTTGTGATCAGAAACACTCCTTGTGCTCCCATGTTAACTCCAAGGAGGCTCCGTCAAATGTATGCTGGCCTCACCAGGGCAACTCCCCACCCCCTGCATTCCCCTTATAGTACCCCTTTGCCTTTCTAAACACCCCCATTCTGCAGTCCTCACCTGCCCCCCCACCTTTCTAAACACCCCTATTCGTCAGTCCTGTGCCCTCTCCTGGAACACTCCTTTTAGCTTTCTCTGGCCTCTGCGTCACCCCCACTCGAAGGATACCCCTCTAGGGGCCCTCTGATTTCCCAAGACATGACCTCACAAGGTGCACAGGTGGATAGGAACTGCCCAACGGGTTCTAGACAGGAGCAGAGTTGTCACGAAGCATGCGAGCCCTTCCTTGCTGCTGTAAGTCATGCAGCACCAGACCCTCACCATTGTAACCCGTGCTCCCGTGGACAGGATCCTGACACCATCTGTACCCTGTGCTGCTATGGATAGGATCCCGATGTCATCTGCATCCTGTGCTCCTGTAGAGAGGATCCTGACACTATCTGTACCCTGTGCTCTTGTGGACAGGATCCTGATGCCACTGGCGTCCCTTGCTCCTGTGATAGGGTCCTGATTACATCTGCACCCTGTGCTCTTGTGGACAGGATCCTGACACCATCTGCACACTGTGCTTCTGTAGACAGGATTCTGCTGTCTGAATCATAAGGCTTTTGTGTGAGGATCGTTTAAGACATTCCCTCACCCGAATTTCAGCACCCAGTTTGGAGACCCCCGAAGAAGAATGGAGTCCACACGAAGACACAGCTTCTTCCTCTGCTGGTTACAACGTCATCCTGCACCCTTCCACCCATCCACCATCTCCATGCTTATGCCCACTCAACAATTCTCTTCCAAACTTTGGAGACAGATTTGGGATTTCTTACAATTAAACCCCTTTCTCAACTGCAACCCGGTGTCTCAGGTGTAGACTTATCATGCGTCAGGCAGTGGATTGTCATGTTTCACCCTTTCCCATGCACCCCCACCCTGAGCTCTGTGTTCAGGACCCACTGCAGGGTCATGCATTGTCTCACACTGTCCAACCATGTGTCTGATAAGGGACCAGTGGGCAGGGTCGTAGGTGTCTCTGGGCCCAGCCCTGGTAGGTGCCTGGGATGAGGGTCTCCGGGCAGAGCTGTTCTCTCTGCACGTGTGGAGAGCATGTTCATGCTCTTGGAAAATGGGTGTGAAGACACTGCGCCAGCCTCTGACCAGGGCTGCCTCTACCTGGTCATTTTTTTTCTTGTGACTTTCCTTTTTGGCCTCTGACCTTGCATCGTCTGGCTCTTGTAATTGGGAAAATAAGCGCAGTTACTTTTTAGAAGTCTGTTTGGCATTGCTGAGCACACACTTGCTTGGAGATCTGCCCCCATTGCCAGCTCAGCAGAGGTTTTCTCAAAACTCCTTCCCTCCACTTCTCTCTGCCCTTTCCAGAATGGTCTTCCACTGCTAACACCAGGTCTCACTCCACTGTGTGCCTAGTCTCTCCATGGGGTTCCTTTCCTAGCTTAGAGAGCACTGGTCCCCTTCCCTACAACACAGAGCATCTGGTTCTCTGGGCCAGGAGATTTGGGGTCATGCCTCAAATCACACCTCAGGGCACTCTGGACAAGTAACATGCGGGTATTGGAGGGCCAGGCAGGGGTTGAGCTGCTGACCTTGGGCCTGGCTTTGTCCTCCCCACCAATCCTTGAACATCACTGAGGTGGCAGGGCTGCAAGGGCCAGGTACAGACTTGGGTGGGACTAACTCCTCAGCACTTTGCTCATCTGGGTCCCATCTTCAGCACCAGAACACTGTGGGTTAAGCCCTGATATCTGCCTCGCTGCATTGTGAGGCCCCTGTGCTTGTTGCTGTTAGGGATCTCTGTTCTGCAGAAGATCTCATTAAAATCTCCAGAAAGGTGCGGGATGGGTAGGTCCGACAGGAGAGAAGACCACAGCTGGGCTTCTTCTCGTCCAGCTGCCAAGCTCTGCCCAAGATAGGAGAGGGAAACTGGGCACTCACTGGCCCTGGACATCCACGTGCCCTGCCTCTCTAAGGTTAATCCCTTCCGGGAAGATCCCAGAGCTCTGCAAAGGAGATGGGGTAAATAAACAGTTGCAACTCCACAGTGGCACTTCCCCACCCCCCCATCCTACACCCAAGGATTGATGACACTCACCGGCTCATAGGTCAGCTCCCTGCAGGGATCTCAGAACAGTCCTGACATGCTGTCTCCTCACTGACTCAAGCTTGGGAGGGCAGGCCCTGTCTCTGTCACCGAGTCCTCAAACCTCCTTCCCCAAAGTCACCCTCCTGCCTCTGCCTCTCTCGGAATTGCTGGAACCCTCTGCTCTCTGGCGGAGGCTGTGGGCATCGTGATGCGTTGTGTAGACCTCACAGTCCACACCATCTCCGCCAACAGCTTGAAGGACTTCTGTCCCAGCAGGTCCATTCCACACATCTGTGTCATGTCCATACAAGACAGCCTGGTCTTCAGAAACACCCACAATACAACGCACATTTCCCACGAAACTCATTCTACTCATGATGTCACACGGACTCCATGGCAAGGGCAGGAGCCTCTCAACAGACACACATCCTGCCGCAGTTGGAGCGGCCCTGGGGCTTGTCCACGGTGTCTCTCCAGGGCAGTTCGTGGCGATGCTGTAAATGGATGGGTGAGACACCCGACCCGAGGATATATTTCATGGAGAAAAGAGGCAACTTATAATGCTGCATTTTTAAATAAAAAGACTTTATTTATAAATCGGACAGCAGCTCGCCATTTAAGAAAGCTTGGGAAGAAATCACTTTCACCTGGGGGCATATATGAAACTTAGGGAATATTTGGCTAAGTCATAACATTAACATTTTTAGTCATCTGTAAAGTGCTGAGAAAAGTATTTCTGGAGAAGGCCTGCATTAAGGTTTCTTGCTTGCTATCTATTCGGTAGTAAACACCAACATATAAATATGTGTGAGGCATAATGGAGCTTGTAATGCTGCACCTCAACACGCGCGTTGCCCTGTGCTGCAGAACACAATCCTGTGTATACACAGAGGAGACATGGAGATGACACGGCGTTGGGCTGAGGTCACTCTTCTTGGCCAGGGTCCCACTGCCAGCGACGACGTGGCCCAGCACAGGAGTCATTCAGAACGACACGCAAAGTAGACCTGCGTTCCAGGCAGCAGGCGAGAAGCTGCGTGCAAGAGCCCCGCAATGCTCTCTGCACATGTCCTCTAATAAAGCACACGTGTGTCTGATGAGGACATCAACACTGTCAACGAGAGATGGCCAGGTATGTGGTGCTGATGCTGGGGTCTAAACGTCCACAGGTAGTGAGCATTTTGGTTCAAGGCAAACAATATTTGTTAAATGCAATATTTTGAATAAAATACTGTTAATTTTAATTAGAAAAATGCAATATAAAAATACTATTTTGTTATAATAGACAGTACACACATTAGACCACTTTGGAAAGCCCAGCTTGTGTCACATGGTCTGGACTGGCATGTGTTACCTGGCTTTTTAATTGTTACAAATTCTAGTCTGGAATTTGAAAATGTAAAATATAAATACAAGTAGTGAATCTGAATCAAGTAAAATTATTTTTAAGAACTGTTAATAAATGCCTACCCTACTGAATACATATCTTTTCTCATAAATTCTTAGTCTGCAAATCCTCTAAGTAATATGACACAAGAATTGGTCTGACGCTGATGAAGTTTAGCTCTTAGTCTTTATACGTAGTCTACAGCAGTCAAAAAGAATGTGGCATTTCCCAGAACTTCACTCAATTTCTCAAAAGTTGAGCATCAATCTTCTACCTTCCGTAGATGTGCCTATACTCACACTGCTGTCTGGAAGAGGAGGAGGGAACTTGCGGGAAAGCCGCCATTATGACATTGCACATTTCTCCCCCAAATACTATTTTAATTTATTCCCAACCAGTGTAGACACGGCTCAATCGTGCTGGCTGTGTGATCTAGCTGGGAAGTCATCCTTGATTGTGAATTCTGATGATGGGAGGCACCATCCCACTATATGTTCAGCAGGGGAATCTGCCAGGCCATGATAGAAGATGTCAGCTCCTCCTGGTAGGGTTGCCGGGCCTTCCTGTGCACACGTCGGTGGCCCTGGCCGCCACAGACCACCAGCGCGGAGCCGGCCTTGGCTCTCCTGGCCCGCCGAGCCCGGCTTCTCAGCGAGATGGGATCCTTCAGGAGGTCATAGATGATGCTGTCCTCTGGCCTGTGCTCTAGAGAGCTGGACCCATGAGATAGGCTGAGGGACCCCGATGAGGAGGACATATCACTCTGCTGGGTCATTGATCCAGGTGAATCTCCCAGCCAGACAGCACCATCAGGGTCATTCTGGCTCAGGCAGGATGCAGCAGCCTCATGAGGAAGCCCATCCTTCTGGTCCTCATCCTGGGGATCGGGGCCAGGGGCTGGGCTGTCCCTGGATCTGTCCTTGTCTTTTTCATGCAAGGCCGTGGCCAGGACAATGAACTTGACAGGACCATTGTGTGCGTGGTAGGAGACCATGCCTCTGCCTGGAAAAGGAACATCTGACTTTAACAAAGATGATATTATGGAAGGAAGCAAAAACACAAGACTAAACCCAACGCCCCTCCTGTGCAAACAGACCCTGTAAGACAGCAGTCCCCATCAGGGACCAGTTTCATGGGAAACAATTTTTCCTTGAACCAGGGGATGGGGGAATGATTTTGGGATGATTCAAGCACATAACATTTGTTGTGCACTTTATTTCTATTATTAGTACATTGTAATATATAATGAAATAATTATACAACTCATCATTTTAAAAAAGAGATGCAGATGGATGTGGTAAATAAAATAATAGATGGGCCATGCTTGGACTTAAAGCCTACCACCAGATGCAACTGACAATGAAAGTACATCAACTCACTTGCCATTCACTGAGATAGGGTTTTGATATGAGTCTGCAAGCAATTGATTTATTATGGTCTCTGTGCAGTCAAACCTCATGGCTAATATTAATCTGTATTTGCAGCCACTCCCCAACGCCAGCTTCACCGCCTCAGCTCTACCTCAGATCATCAGGCATTAGATTCTCATAAGGAGCACGCAGGCTAGACCCCTTGCATGCACAGTTCACAGTAGGATTCACGCTCCTATGAGAATGTAATGTCGCAGCTGATCTGGCAAGAGGTGGAGCTCAGGGGGTGATGCAGATGATGATGAGTAGCTGCAAATATACATGAAGTTTCTTCGTTCACTTGCCCATCACGCCACTCACCTCTTGCTGTGCCACCTGGTTCCTAACAGGCCACAGATCAGTACCAGTCTATGGCCCAGAGTCTGGGGACCCCTGCTGTTGACTTGACTTGAGTCACTTACAAGGAGAGGCTAAAATGAAAATGCCTAGATTGTATTCTTGTGGATTTGTAGTTAATTTGGGGAAAGCTTTTAAAACGACCATCTAAGATACAAAATTAAATTTTTTTCTGCAGTATCTCAGGTTAAATACTCATGTTACTTTTTAAATAGTTGTTTTCCTGTTCTGCATGAAATACCTTCTCACTTACTTTATGGAAATAGATCTAATTTCCTACATCTTGCTTATAAAAAATTAAAGCCTGAAATGTGTCCGTTTTTGGAACAAAATATCTAAACTACTAGCTTCCTGCCATTTTTCATTACAAAAGTGTTCTGAACTATAGAACAATTTAATTCTGTAGTTGAATTAAGATGAGGACTTTTCGGTTTAGGGGTGATATGATTCAAATGTTAAAATCATCACCATGTCAGAAGCATCTGTAGGTTGCTTATAAAACACAGAACCTCCACTGTCTGTGATGGGGAGGGGATTGCTTGCACCTAACATACAAGCACAAACCTCACAGCCTCAGCGACAAGGCAGTAAAGGACAGGATTGCATGTATCCTGGGACCCTGACAGGAAATGCAAAAGTGGTAAAAGTAAAACAATTGTTTCCGGTACAAATTGGTAAAATACGAAGAGGGACCCCAAAAATCCAAGATTTGTTTATAAAAAATTGTGTATTTATTTTTACATGTCTAAACTTCAGTCACCTTCAAAGTGCTCTCTATTTGATTCAATACACCTATCAAGACACTTTTTTCTACTGCTCAAAACAGTTTTTGAACTCATCAATTTTAATGCCTTTTAGCGCTTCTGCGGTTTTTTGTTTCACCTCTTCTACATCAGCAAAACATTTTCCTTTGAGGACTTTTTTCATCTGAGGAAACCAAAAAAAAAGGTCACTCGGGGTGAGAGTGGGTGAACACAGAGGGTGGGGCCTGGGAGTCATGCTCTTTTAGGTCAAGCATTGCTGAACACTCAGTGCAATGTGGGCAGGTGTGCTCAATCACCCATCATGAAATGGGCGGACACGTTGAAAGAATCTCCAACAACAACAAAAATTCACTGAAGCCAAACGCAGCCTCTCACAACGCTAGCTGGTATACTGATGCCGATGGGTTCCTAGAACACCTACCTAGTGGGGAAGCCTATACCATAAGGGGCTCACCCTCAAAAAGATAATTCTTGGTTTTTTTTGATCTCCGTCGTACGGTGGAAAACCAAAGGAATAATACTCAGGGTAACAGTCTCCTATGAGGAGAGCAGAAGTGGGATTGAGATAGGCAGCTGGCTCTGATGCATGGGTGGTGATTTGCATCCTGAACTCCTGGCAGGCAGGGACCTTGTTACCATGTAAGCTGAACAAATCCATCATGTACCATTTTTTGTACTTACAGGTTGAGCGTCCCTGATCTGAAATGCTTGATGCCAGAAGTGGTTACGGTTTCCATTTTTTTTCAGATTTTAAACTTACTGGGTGAACATCCCAAATCTGAAAATCAAAAATGCCCTAAGAAGCATTTGCCCATGAGCATCACGTTGGCAGTTTTTCTGATTCTGGAATTTTGAATTTGAGGTGTTTAATGTGGGTGAGATACAGATTGTGATGAAAAGAGAAACTAAGAGGTGAGGGCACAAGGAGTCCTTCCTCCATTAAGGCCACACAGGAACATGGCTGACTCTGAGAACAGCAGGCTGACATGAGGAGAGGAGGAAATACAGAATGCAGTCCTTAGCACATCTCATGAGTCCATACAAGCCTTTTTTTCTGCTAACATGCTTCCCTGGCTGATATGGTGACCAACATAGAGTCTGAGACCCTGGTTTTACTAAACCTGCAGGGAAAGTCTTCTGCCTCATGGTAAGCATTCCACACATGTTGTTTCTACTGGCTGCATTCTGTTCCACCTATGGCAATACAACCCTTATGTTCAGCTTCTCCATTCCTAATTTTGAACATTCAGGTTGCCCCTTGTTTTGTGCTATTATCAACTGAATGCTGTGGCAAATGCCTTTTTGCATCACATTCTGTTCCTAGAGCCAGATCCGTGAACTGGAAGTCTGGCTCCAGATACACATGCGTGCTTTCAGGCTCAGGATCCGCAGTGCCAACTGCTTTCACAAAGGCTGTACGACACTGTGAGCTCCTGTCAACGTCCGCCAGAGCATGGCTGAGCCTCTCAGATCCAGGTCTCCTTCTTTACCACATAAATTACGAAACGTGTCCACCTTCACTGAGTAAAACTATAGACTGCAAGACACTAACTGGTGGCAATAAACAGACTATGAAAGCATGTTTTCAGGGTAACACTCTCCTTGGACCCTAACATCAGAAGTAGAAACACAAAAGGATACATGGATGATTCTAATTATATAGACATAGTCCTTTATGTCTTTATAATACATTGAAAAAACCCAAAGGATGTACGTTGTTGAAGCAATCATAGGATGTTAAATTATAACACAGACAGACGCACTCCATGAGTTGACAAGAGGGGCACAGCCACCTAGACTGCACAGGGGTTCTACTCACCAGTCACTTTGGGAATCCCTTGCAGACGAGGGACTGGCAGGGCCACAAGGATGCCCAGGCTGGTGCCCACCATCAGCAGGCCATGGCTGACAAGGAGGCTCGTCACAGATAGCCGCTGATGCCCTGAGCGAAGAGAAAGAAGTGGCTGTGGGCCCTGGTCACAAGGTCATGCAGCAGTGTCAGGGTGGGCAGTGAGGGGGCGCTGGGCACAACTGAAAACACCAAGGGCCTGTGCACCTGTCTCCCATGCCAACACCAAGCCCCAAGGCAGCTGTATTGTGGAAGGTCCACACCTGTGCATTGGGCTTCCCTCAACTAGAGAAAGATAGAGGTCCTGGCCACGTGTCCTGCAACTGCACCCAACAGAACAGGGCAGAGGCATCCCTAGACCCCACCATCCAGTCCCTGTACTGCTCTGGGCAGCCCTTTCAGATGAGATGCAAATCCCTAGAACCATCTGTCTAAGCCATTTGCTTCAACACAGCACATAAGTCCTCAAGTACCCCGACACACACAGCAGCCTGTAATTCTGGGGGAGTAGAGTCCCCTTCACACATGAGGAGGGCTCTCCAACAAGCAGGTGAGGATGGGCTTCTGCTGCAGGGTTAGAGCGTGGAAAGCATACCACCAACCAGAGAAGTGAAAGGCCTTAACAATGAAAACTACAAAACACTGCTGAAAGAAATCAGATGACACAAACAAATGGAAAAACATTCCATGCCCATGGATTGGAAGAATCAACAGTGTTAAGATGTCTATCCTATTCAAGGTAATCTACAGATTTAACACAATACCCATTAAATTACCACCATCATTGTTCTCAGACCTAGAAATGACAACACAGAAGTTCATATGGAAATATAATGGCCATGAATAGCCAAAGCAAAATCCTCAGCAAAAGAAACAAAGAAGGAGGTATCATACTTCCAGACTTTAAATTTTATTACAAGGCTATAATAATCAAAACAGTCTGGTATTGGTAAAAGAACAAGCATATAGACCAATGGAACAAGACAGAGATCCTGGAAGAAAAACCTCAATTTCTGAACCAACTCATTTTCAACAAAGCCTCCACTAACAACCCGGGGGAGAGGAGAACTTATTCAGTAAATGGTGCTGGGAAAACTGGCTGACCATATGCAGAAGACTAAAACAAGACCCATACCTATCACCATACACAAAATCAGCTCTAAATGGATCAAAGAGCTAAATGTAAAACCTCAAACTATAAGAACCTTAGAAAATGCAGGAGACACCTTATAGAAATTGGAACTGGAAACCAATTCCTGATCAAAACCCCAAATGCCCATGCCATAAGAGATAAGATTGACAAGTGGGACCTCATCAAACTGAAAAATTTCTGCAAAGTAAAACAAACCATCAAGAGAGCAGGGAGACAGTCCACAGACTGGGGAAGAATATTCGCCAACTGTATATCTGGCAAAGGCATAACTTCCAGGATCTACAAGGAATTTAAACATGCTGAAAAGGAAAAAAAAACCAAACAGCCCTATTAAAAACTAGGCAAAAAGCTGGGCTCGGTGGCTCAGCCTGTAATCCCACGCCTTTGGGAGGCTGAGGTAAATGGATTGCCTGAGCCCGCGGGTTCGAGACCTGCCTGGGCAGCGAGATCTCATCTTTACAATA